GGCCATTTTTTGGTTGCAGCCATCATTGTTGTTTGGCGGGCCCGGGCTGGGGATTTGAACCCGCGACCTTAGGTGTATGTGGCTGGCGCCGTAGCCGGTTGAGCCACAGGTGCCGAGCCTGATTTGGCATTGAAAAGGGTGCCATTTGGGACATTGAAATCCCATTAAATGTCTTGTGTGAATGTTACTATAGTTGTTAAGAAGGAGTAGTTTTGAACCTGGTTTAATTCTAGATGGAAATGGTGTCTATTACCCCAGCGTTGAAAATCTCTTATTCCAAAAGTTGATAATTATTGTCATTTGAAAGTCAAGTACAAAGGGGCTTATTCATGACTGCTTCCTATTTCCCAGTATATTCTGTTTTAAGTTACCACTACAGGTGGTCCCACAGCTCATTGGATAGAGGACTGGCCATATACACTGGGCTGGCAAGTTTGAACCCAGCCCAGGCCAGCCAAAACAACAATGACAACTGCAACAACAACAAAAATAGCTGGGCGTTGTGGCGGGCACCTGTGGTCCCAGATCAGAGTTTGAGGTTGCTATGAGCTGTGATGTCACAGCACTCTACCCAGGGTGACAGCTTGGGACTCTGTCTCAAAAAAAAAAAAAGTTTGCAGCTTGCAATTCATGGTATGCCACACGTGGTAGCTTACACCTATAATCCTAACACTTTGGGAGGCTGAAGAAGGAGGATTGCTGGAGGCCAGGAGTTTGAGAGCCTGAGGAACATAGTGAAACCCTCTCTAATAAAAACCTAGAAGGGTGTGGTGGTGAATGCCTATAGTCCTAACAATTTAAGAGGCTTAGGCAGGAGGATTACTTTTTTTTAATTTGAGACAATCTCACTCTTTTGCCCTCAGTAGAATGCATCGGTATCATAGCTCACAGCAACCTCAAACTCTCGGGCTTAAGCGATTCTCTTGCCTCAGCCTCCCAAGTAGCTGGGACCGCAGGTGCCCGCCACAACACCCAGCTATTTTTTGTTGCAGTTGTGAATGTTGATTTTAGCTGGCCTGGGCTGGGTTCGAACCCCCAGCCTCGGTTTATGTGGCTGATGCCCTACCCACTGAGCTAAGAGTGTTGCCCAGGAGGATTACTTTTTGTCTGTTTTTGAGACAGAGTCTTACTTTGTTGCCCTCAGTAGAGTGCCCTGGCATTATCGCTCACAGCAACCTCAAAATCTTGGGCTCAGGCAATTCTCTTGCCTCAGCCTCCCAAGTAGCTGGGACTATAGGCGATTGCCACAATACCCAGCTATTTTTAGAAACGAAGTCTTGCTCTTGCTCAGGCTGGTCTCAAATTCCTAAGCCCAGGCAATCCATCTGCCTTGGCCACCCAGAGTGCTAGGACTAAGCGTGAGCCACCATGCCTGCCCTGTGGGAGGATTGAGCCCAGGAATTCGAGGTGGCTGTGAGCTATGATTGGGTCACTATATTCCAGCCTATACAACTGAGGGAGAATCTGTCTCTTTAAAAAAAACACAGAATTTAGAAATAGTTATTTTTTCTTTTGAAGCTTTCCTAATATGTTTAAATGTAAGAACCTAAAATATGTATTTATACCATAACTTTGCTTTATTTTCAGGTGTTCTATACCAGTAGAGCCAGGAGATATCATTCATTTGGAGGGAGACTGTACATCTGGTACTTGGATAATAGATGAACATTTTGGATATTTGATTCTTTATCCAGACATGCTGTTTTCTGGCACAAGCATAGCCAGTAGTATTCGATGTATGAGAAGAGCTATCCTGAGTGAAACTTTCAGGGTAAATAGTATTAACTTTGAATGTTGTAAAAGGGTCTTAGAGGCTGAGCGACGTGGCTCGTGCCTGTAATCCTAGCACTCTGGGAAGCTGACGCAGGTAGACTGCCTGAACTCACAGGTTTGAGACCAACTTGAGCAAGAGGGAGACCTAGTCGCTAAAACTACACCGGGCATTGTGGTGGGTGCCTGTAGTCCCAGCTGCTTGGGAGACTGAGACAAGATAATCACTTGAGCTCTAGAGTTTGAGGTTGCTGTGAGCTATGACACCATGACAGTCTACCACAGGTGACCAAGTGAAACTCTTAACTCTTGTCTCCAAAAAACAAAAACAATATCTTGTAATTTATTTCGTTGGTATGAAACAATATCCAAACAAGGTCATAGTATTTCATTTAGTTGGTAGGTCTCTTAAGTTAGTTTTTTTTTTTTTTTTTT